TCTTTGGCCCGCACCTTGACAGCTCCCCCTTCTCGTACCCCTGACATAATGTGCGCGCAACAGGTAACACACTGCCGGCCCCGACGCGCCGGCCCGCCCCGCCCCGGCCCGGGTGCGTCCCTGGACGGCCGCCAGCGCGCCGCCCATCCCATCGTCGCGGTCCTGGTCCTCGCCGCCCACACCGAGGCCTCCACCTTCCACCCCGTGAGCGTCCGCGAGGACGCCCACGGGGCCGCCGCCCGGGCCGAGCCCAGAGTGCGGAAGAAACGGAAATGGCGGAAACGGAAGTGGCAAAACGGGAACATCGGTATAAGAAATATTTATGTCACGTTGCACATGTCGCACATTTTCTTTCGTTTTTCACTTGCGCTTTATTCTGTCCGGTTTGTCAGATCGTCTCGCGACTCTCACTTCCGCTTCCGACAAAAAAGAGAAATATCCCCTTTCCGCCGACGGCAGCACTTGAGCGAAGCACAGTTAAATAGTCCCAGCAGGAAGAGCAGGAGGAGGAGGAGCTTGGCGAAGCGCAGCTGAGGCTAGGCGGGGCCCGGCGGAGAGCGCATGGGCCCCAGGAGCCCAAAGGCCCACAGCGGGAGCCGCAAGGCCTCGCAGTAGGCCCCGCGGGCCACGGGCTGAAGCACTATGCACCCCCGTGATCACTTTCCGAAGCACATTTGAACGTTCACAGAGCACACAAGTCGTATGGAGCACAGAGCGCGGGGCACGCGCAGCACAGCGGAGCGAGCAGGGAATCCAAGGGTCGAAGCCGCTGCTGCTGCTGGCGCTGCTCGGCAGCCGGAGGGACGTCGTCGGGTACCTTTCTGTTTCGATATTCGTTGGGTAGCGGCCGGTGTCGCTAGTCGCTCGGTGTGAGCCACTCCACTGGGCTCTAGCGCGTGTTCGGCACTAGACTACCGCTCAGGGTACAGTTTCGAATGGCGCCCGGCCGCGCGGGTCCCGGCTAGTCTTTCCGTCGTCTGCACACGGCCCTCCCCCCACCAGGGTGCGCCCGCCCTCACCGCCACG